TGAGTGTCAGCCTTCTCATTGAACGTGCTTTTTTATTTTTCAATGTTTATGTTCATGATAGTGCGTTACTTTTTTGTTGTTATTATTAACTATTTTTAAATCATACGTGACATGCCGTTGTGGCTGGATAAAAGTTTGTGTTTATTTTTCAAACACCTTCGTTTGATAGGTAGGAATGTAGCTATGAACAAGTACGTACTAGTAATATTAGTTATTTTGTTATTAGTTTATTATTAGTACCTATGTATTATGTATTACCAGTTAAATAGTAAAATAAATACATATAATGATAAATTAACTGTGGATTATTTCATTTACGTTGCGTTACGTGGCTTCCGTGTGGGTAGCTCGCTGTTTATTCCAAAATTAACAAAGTAGCTCAACACATTGAAGAGGTTGGCGACCACTGGCATAGATGCTCGGGAATTGACCTCATATAGAAAAAATAACATCAATATATACAGAGCTTACACTGAAAATTTTCAATTATATGCAAGCTGGAGATAATTCTGAATATATGTTGTTTGGTAAACTCAGGTGTTTGAGATACCCGAGATTTTAATATAACTTTCAAAGAAGAAAATGAAATAAAAAATGTTCTGTCTCAATTTGAGACTTGATGAATTAGTTTTTGAAAACTTTAGAGTAAATGTTCATAGCAGAACCAGAATCGACAACATTTTTTGGAACGTTCATGCAGAGATTCTCGTTAACGACAATTTTTTATTTGATCATAAATCGTTAATTGTAAAAGTTAGCCACAATGAAATATATAAAATCGTCAAAACATCATATACATATAGCAGACATTTCAACGAAATGAACAAATAAATTTGCGGAAATGATGAAAAGTGTTTTTTTTAAATAATAAAAAGCGTGAAAATGATCATGATAAAACAAGCTGGGTGACAGATACTTTTCAAAAACAACATCTTGAAATTAGAGAAACATATAATATAATGAAAAAAGAATATTTTTGCTCAGTTGATAAATGTAAAAAACAATATTTCGGTCATAGGTATAGTTGAACACTCAGAAAATTAAACCTCGTGGGAAGTTATAAATACACACAGAAATAAAGATATATCACAGTATAACATGAATTAGATTGAAATAGGAATATTTTTTATGAGTGACTCATTTTTTTGAGAGCGTTTGGCTTTCTACTTCTCTGTTTTGTTATAAAAAAGGAGGAAACTTCTGAAGAAAGAAGTTGCAGCCAGGTTCAAGACTTGCATAACTTAGGAGCTCCTGCTCTTGATCCGAGTTTGCAGGAAGGACTGTTCCATGTAAGTGAAATTTTATATCAATGCTCTTTCATATACAGAGTGGTCCAACGAAAAGTATGCACCTTGTTTTTCTCCTTTTTTTGTAACTTAACGCAAAAATGCTCGGACAGGTCAATTTTGCTTTTAAGGGGGACACATTTTAAATGTATTTTTCTACCTGTGCCTTCAACCCCCTAGCGAGGGTGAGTAACAACCCTTAAATTTTAAATGGAAAGTGGGGTCAAGTGATATATCATTTGAAAGGGCATAAAATTATCGTTCCAATGATACCTAATTTGTTGTACTTCACTCAAACATGTAGGTATTATGAATAAAAACAACTACAACCCAGTACTTTGAAATGTGTAATTGACTTAGTAGAATCCTACTTCAGCAAGTGCTGAAAATGTGACCCATTTGCTTCCATACAATAATACAGATTTTGTTCAAATCTATTCCTAACATTCTGTAGCATATCAGGTGTTATACTTCTGCACTCTGCT